AAGTGTGGTCTCTGTGGGCCTCCTCTGAAGCCCAGCAAAGTCAATGAAAAGATTCCCACTGATTTTAATGGGTTTTGGAGCAGGTCCTAGGTCACCTCTTCTAGAGACTTCTTAAGAGATGATATACAGCTTAGTACTTATCCAGCTAATGGGGATTCTTCTTTAGCTCAAGGGGGTAGGTATAAACACCAGGAGTTAGGTGGGCTGGAGAAAGGCACAGATCTTTTAGCAGCCAGAATAGCTGCTGAGTCTGAATCGTCTCAGGGATTCCGGAACCATCTAGTTCACATTGGCCATACGCGGAGAATTAACACATGCATTACCCTCGTCAACTCCCACATGAGCAGCTCTGTGTTCTCCAATTTGCTTTGTGTCCCACATGATAGTAACATGCTATCAGTCTTTACGCTTAAGGACCTGTGCTTTTGGAACAGAAGCCACAGAGTTCTATCTCCATTGACAACCGTGACGTCCGTATGGGTAGGGCAAGCAGAACAGTTGACAGCCATGAAGTTTATATAGCTAGTGAATTGTTGCCATGAACATATTACAATGCATCCGCAGCCTGTGAAAAATCTTTGCAGATTTTGTGAGTAGGTCTGCATTAAAAGGGCAGTTGCTTTTCTTTTACTGAAGATAGTTGTACTGATGTCAGATGCTTATCATATAATAATAGCTAGCTCTTTCACGACTATAAGGGGTATGCTGCTATGCCTATAAAGAACTCCTGTGAAAAAGTTGTTTGTTTCCCGTCAAGGATGTAGAGCTATGAGAGGGTTCAACAATCAAGGGAAAGCCCTGAGACAGAACACAATGCATGTTGTCCCAAGAAATTATTGTTCTGCGTGTCTTTTGGTCTAATTGTCTCAGCTACAAAAATTGCCTATAAGTCTTTTACAAAAGTGTGTGAAATAAATTCTCAGCATTCCATTTGGTCCTTAGTCGAAGCTCTTATGATCAGACTATCACATGACACTTACTGATTATAGCTGGTGTTGGTAACTACACCAATTGTTAAGATTGCCCAACACACTATACTGTAGGACCCTATTTTCAGTTGCTTCTAACTTTATCCATTCTTAACAATTTGCTCTGGAATTCAGCCATTTCCTAGAACAAATTGAAAGAAAAATATGTTATTTTGTGTGTTTTTAAAAAAAATGTGACTATTTCATTGATCTCTGGCACCTCTAAGCACTGGAGCAGGGATGTGAAATTTCAAAATAGGTGGTCTTTTTTCCCAGGGATGTGAGAAAACTGCTCAAAATTGTCCAAGTGATAAGTCTCTGAAAATTTAGTTTGCACAGGCTCAGTAGAGGCTTGCTAGAGTTTAGCAGCTAAATTATATAAAGATTTCATCTTTGCTGAGCATGGTCCAGAGCAGTGAGGGAATGGGCAGGACTTTCCCTGCAATTGCTTCTCCAAGCATCCAGGGCCCACTGTGGCACCAGAACTGAGAGCTCTCTCATGGTGCCTCGCTACTCCCCCTGCTGGCTCCTAATTAGCATGGAGGAGGAAGACAATAGCCTACTTCACAACACAACCCTAATTCATCTTCAGAATAGGTCCATCCAGTGCCCTGAATGAGCTATAGATTCTGCAGAAAAAATGCTATGTAATCAAGTAATTAAAGACTGTCTCATCATGCATACATATAGGGCATCTGTATTAAGCAAATTTTAATACTGACATTTCCTACATTTTGAGTGCTTGAATTTATAATCTTAATAGTCTTTTAATGTTGTTTTTTTAGTATAAAGCTGCAGTATATGAGCCATAAACACTAAAGACCTGATTCATCCTTGGATACTTTATCCAAATATACTTCCTAAGAGATGATACACAGCTCTATATTTTCAGGTGCGGTATTCTTGAAGGGACATATATTACAATCAGGTATGAAAAATATATATCCTTAATTCTATTACAAACAATATCTTTGGCTATTGAAATAAAGAATTTTACAAATCTGATGTATACCAAACCTATATTTGAGGCAAATTTTACAAGTCTTTTTGTATATACATTATCTCTCTACACTCTGTTTCTAAATCCAGAACTTACCTTCTGCTGTTAATTTTAAATGTCAAAAAAGGGTTAAAACATTGTAAAACTTGTATATACTCTGGTGGTAGGACATTCATTTGATAATGGCTGTGTTCTTACACAATTTATATATATTATCAGGTATCAAAAGCAAGAAACATTTTGTATTATTATGTTTATTGACTTCATCTAATTATTAGCACAAACATAGCAGCAGAGAAGATGAACTCTCGAACTATAGTGCTTTTAGTCCAGAATAATGGAGTTACTAAAAATGAGACATTTGCACCTTGTTTTCATGACTTACTTTCACAAATTGGCTTTCCAAAAAAGTTAGTGAATGGGGATAAAATGGCCAACTATTCCAAACTATTCCAAACCAAATTTATTAAAAACTAACTTAAATTCTGTTGGAACTATTCTGTGGCTCTGATTCAGGACAGTATTTAAGTATCTGTTTAACTTTCAGACTGTACTTTAGTTTCTTTTACATTGTATTTGGCTGTTTTTCTTCAAGATTGGTTGTTTTTCTAATCTAAAGCATACACTCTGGGAATTATTTGGGGGGAAATAGTCTGTGCTAGACAGGGGGTCAGACTAGATGATTATAAACAATGGTTCCTTCTGCCCTTGAACTCTGTTTAAGTGCTGCCCTGGAGAGGAATAATTTCCTGAATTGTAGGCTACGTTAGTAAGCTGCAAGAAGTATCTTGTAACCATTTACATGCTCAAAACCATAAATTAAAAAACACATTTAATCAAGTCAGACAAATTAAAATAGTTTTTCATGTAATAAATGTTCTGCTCCATAGATACTACTATATTAGATATGTCTTTTTCATCAAAATTTTTAAATGAGTGTACTTATATATGTTGAGTTATTACAAAAAGATTTTTTTTTAATTAAAACTCCTAAAGTATGTCTCCATAATCAATATTTAGAGGCTAAATAATTGGGTTGATTTCCAAAGCCCACAAAGTTTCCACCGAAGCCAATGGCAGCTGCTAGATTCCTGATGCTTCTGTAAATCAGGCCATTTATTTAGTCACCTAACTATGGATTTTAGAGACTTAACTTTAGGTATCCATTTTTAAGAATCTTGGCCTGGACAGTCTAAATCACAATGCACAAACCAAAAAGAGCAAAATTTAGCCCTAAAAATTAAAATACATAAAATATCTAATTGTAAAGCCACGGCAAATACAAATATACGGGAAACTGAGTGAGACAGAAAGCATACTAGCACGCATGAGTCCCAACATCATCTCTAGATCACCAGTATCACATTGCATGATTTATTTGCAATGAAGCAATTCTATGCAGACCCCAACCCCAATACACTAGAAATACATAATTATATGTCTAATGTGGCAAGTCACCTGTTATGACTAAGTTTACTAATAATAAGGAAGCAAAATCTCTTTCCATGGAAGAATAGCCATATGAAATTTTAGATTCAGAATAGCTTCTTACTTCAAAATGGTTAATTTTAGTTCATGTGTTGTTACCAATCTGAGACTGTGAAGAGTGAGAACTTTTCTATTCTAAAGAGCAATGAAACTGCCTTTTCCAATTAATTATAGTTTACTTCAAGCCATAGATAAAATTACAAAATTGTTTTACTTAGCGTCATGCTTTTTAAAGGTATGTTCTTTAACATTATCATTTTTCTAGTTACAACTTCCAGTTATTATCAAAAGGTTAAGAGGAAGGTCTGTTGCACTGATGTTTGCCTTCACATCTGGGTTAGCAACATGTACGTAACGGACCTTAAAAAAAAAGCGAGCGTGATAGAAAGGAGGGACAGAAGACATCACCACACTAAATGAAAAGCAAACAATATGCATATCAGCATCCTAACGAGCCGTACCACTCTTCTGGGAAAAGCCAAGACAAAAGAATTATCTAACACAACAGTTCAAAGCATATTGCACCTGTCAAAATGTCTGTCATCTTCTATAGAAATGCACCATTCTAAAAGAGAAAAAGGAAACCCTAGCAAAGTCACTCAGAAACAACAGACCACTTTGTCTCTTTCCTTCCAGCCAACTCCTCCATCTGAAAGCCATTTAACTCAATGCTAAAGATTGCCTGGAAGGACCAGACAATAGGAAGTTCTCTTTCATTGTCAAGGACAGTTACACTTTGAAGATGATGCTCAAAGGAGGTTAAAATGGGTCAACAAGCAATTGTTGGTCCTATCCAAGGAAATGTGAACTGAACATTGTTAAAGCCACCACAAAA